ATTCCCGTACAAGTTCTAGCAGTTTTGGAGTGGAGTCTTTTGGCTTTTCCACATATAGTATCATATCATCTGCGAAGAGTGATAGTTTGACTTCTTCTTTGCCGATTTGGATGCCTTTAATTTCTTTTTGTGGTCTGATTGCTGAGGCTAGGACTTCTAGTACTATGTTGAATAGCAGTGGTGATAACGGACATCCCTGCCGTGTTCCTGACCTTAGAGGAAAAGCTTTCAGTTTTTCTCCATTGAGAATGATATTTGCAATGGGTTTTTCATAGATGGCTTTGATAATATTGAGGTATGTGCCCTCTATCCCTACACTTGGAAGAGTTTTGATCAGGAAGGGATGTTGTACTTTGTCAAATGCTTTTTCAGCATCTATGGAGAGTATCATATGGTTCTTGTTCTTTTATTAATGTGTTGTATCACATTGATTGATTTGCGGATGTTGAACCAACCTTGCAGCCCTGGAATACATCCCACTTGGTCGGGGTGAATAATCCTTTTAATGTACTGTTAAATCCTATTGGCTAGTATTTTGGTGAGAATTTTTGCATCTGGGTTCATCAAGGATATTGGTCTGTAGTTCTCTTTTTTAATGAGATCCTTGTCTGGTTTTGGGATCAAGGTGATGCTGGCCTCATAAAATGAGTTTGGAAGTTTTCCTTCCATTTCTATTTTTTGGAACAGTTTTAGAATAGGAATTAGTTCTTCCTTAAATGTTTGGTAGAATTCCCCCGGGAAGCCATCTGGCCCTGGGCTTTTGTTTGTTTGGAGATTTTTGATGACTGTTTCAATCTCCTTACTGGTTATGGGTCTGTTCAGGCTTTCTATTTCTTCCTGGTTCAGTTGTGGTAGTTTATATGTCTCTAGGAATGCATCCATTTCTTCCAGATTGTCAAATTTGTTGGCATAGAGTTGCTCATAATATGTTCTTATGATTGTCTGTATTTCTTTGGTGTTAGTTGTGATCTCTCCTCTTTCATTCATGATTTTATTTATTTGGGTCCTTTTTCTTTTCTTTTTGATAAGTCTGGCCAGGGGTTTATCAATCTTATTAATTCTTTCAAAGAACCAGCTCCTAGTTTCGTTGATTTGCTCTATTGTTTTTTGGTTTCTATTTCATTGATTTCTGCTCTGATCTTTATGATTTCTCTTCTCCTGCTGGGTTTAGGGTTTCTTTCTTGTTCTTTCCCCAGCTCCTTTAGGTGTAGGGTTAGGTTGTGTACCTGAGACCTTTCTTGTTTCTTGAGAAAGGCTTGTACCGCTATATATTTTCCTCTCAGGACTGCCTTTGCTGTGTCCCACAGATTTTGAACCGTTGTGTTTTCATTATCATTTGTTTCCATGAATTTTTTCAATTCTTCTTTAATTTCCTGGTTGACCCATTCATTCTTTAGAAGGATGCTGTTTATGGTCTCCATGTATTTGGGTTCTTTCCAAATTTCCTCTTGTGATTGAGTTCTAGCTTCAGAGCATTGTGGTCTGAAAATATGCAGGGAATGATCCCAATCTTTTGATACCGGTTGAGACCTGATTTAGGACCCAGGATGTGATCTATTCTGGAGAATGTTCCATGGGCACTAGAGAAGAATGTGTATTCTGTTGCTTTGGCACGAAATGTTCTGAATATATCTGTGATAACCATCTGGTCCAGTGTGTCATTTAAGGCCTTTATTTCCTTGTTGATCTTTTGCTTGATCTGTCCATTTCAGTGAGGGAAGTGTTAAAGTCCCCTACTATTATTGTATTATTGTTGATGTGTTTCTTTGATTTTGTTATTAATTGGTTTATATAGTTGGCTGCTCCCACGTTAGGGGCATAGATAATTACAATTGTTAGATCTTCTTGTTGGACAGATCCTTTGAGTATGATATAGTGTCCTTCCTCATCTCTTATTATAGTCTTTGGCTTAAAATCTAATTGACCTGATATAAGGATTGCCACTCCTGCTTTCTTCTCATGTCCATTAGCATGGTAAATTCTTTTCCACCCCCTCACTTTAAATCTGAAGGTGTCTTCGGGTTTAAAATGAGTTTCTTGTAGGCAACATATAGATGGGTTTGGTTTTTTTATCCATTCTGATACCCTGTGTCTTTTGATTGGGGCATTTAGCCCATTAACATTCAGGGTAACTATTGAGAGAGATGAATTTAGTGCCATTGTATTGCCTGTAAGGTGACTGTTACTGTATATTGTTTCTGTTCCTTTCTGATCTACTAGTTTTAGGGTCTCTCTTTGCTTAGAGGACCCCTTTCAATATTTCCCGTAGAGCTGGTTTGGTGTTTGCAAATTCTTTCAGTTTTTGTTTGTCCTGGAAGCTTTTAATCTCTCCTTCTATTTTCAATGATAGCCTAGCTGGATATAGTATTCTTGGCTGCATGTTTTTCTCATTTAGTACTCTGAATATATCATGCCAGCTCTTTCTGGCCTGCCAGGTCTCTGTGGAGAAGTCTGCTGCCAATCTAATATTTTTACCATTGTATGTTACAGACTTCTTTTCCCGGGCTGCTTTCAGGATTTTCTCTTTGTCACTAAGACTTGTAAATTTTACTATTAGGTGACCTATTCTTATTGATTTTGAGGGGGGTTCTCTGAGCCTCCTGGATTTTGATGCTTGTTCCCTTTGCCATATTGGGGAAATTCTCTCCAATAATTCTCTCCAATATACCTTCTGCTCCCCTCTCTCTTTCTTCTTCTTCTGGAATCCCAATTCTTCGAATGTTGTTTCGTCTTATGGTGTCACTTATCTCTCGAATTCTGCCCTCGTGGTCCAGTAGCTGTTTGTCCCTCTTTTGCTCAGCTTCTTTATTCTCTGTCATTTGGTCTTCTATATCGTTAATTCTTTCTTCTGCCTCATTTATCCTAGCAGTGAGAGCCTCCATTTTTGATTGCACCTCATTAATAGCTTTTTTGATTTCAACTTGACTAGATTTTAGTTCTTTTATTTCTCCAGAAAGGGCTGTTATATCTCCCGAGAGGGTTTCTCTAATATCTTCCATGCCTTTTTCGAGCCCGGCTAGAACCTTGAGAATCGTCATTCTGAACTCTAGATCTGACATATTACCAATGTCTGTATGGATTAGGTCCCTAGCCTTTGGTACTGCCTCTTGTTCTTTTTTTTGTGGTGAATTTTTCCGCCTTGTCATTTTGTCCAGATAAGAGTATATGAAGGAACAAGTAAAATACTAAAAGGGTGGCAACAACCCCAGGAAAATATGCTTTAGCCAAATCAGAAGAGATCCCAAATCGTGAGGGTGGGGGGGGAAAGGGGATATAAAGAGGTTCAGAAAGAAGGAAAAAAAAAAAAGAAAGAAAGAAAGAAAAAAAAAAGAGAAACAAATAAAAGAAGAAAACCAATAATGAAAAAATATAAAACGGAAAAACATATATATATATAATATATATATTATATATATATATAATATATATATTAGATAAACTAGTTAAAAAACATTAAAAAAGAAAAGGGTAAAAGTTAAAAAAATTTAGGAGAAGAAGAGAAAAAAAAATTGAAAAAGAAAAAAAAATTAAATTAACTGCAAGACTAAAGAATCATGGGGAGAAAGCCATGAGTTCTGTGCTTTGCTTTCTCCTCCTCTGGAATTCCGCTGCTTTCCTTGGTATTGAAACTTCACTCCTTGGTAGGTGAACTTGGTCCCGGCTGGGTTTCTTGTTGATCTTCTTGGGGAGGGGCCTGTTGTAGTGATTCTCAAGTGTCTTTGCCCCAGGCGGAGTTGCACTGCCCTTACCAGGGGCCGGGCTGAGTAATCCGCTCGGGTTTGCTTTCGGGAGCTTTTGTTCCCTGAGCGCTTTCCATAGAGTTCCGGAGGTTGGGAATGAAGATGGCGGCCTCCCAGTCTCCGGCCTGGAGGAGCCGAGAGTCTGGGGCCCCACTCCTCAGTGCACCCTCAGAGAACAGCGCCCAATTGCTCCCGTCACCCTGACCTCCGTCCGCGCTCCGAGCTCACCGAGCCTGCGACCGATTCAAGGTAAACCCGAGCTTAGAGCTCACTCCTCGGCTCTGTCTCTGTAGCCGGCTTCCCCGTTCTAATACCTGTAAGCTCTGCAACACTCAGACACCCCCGATCCTTCTGTGACCCTGCGGGACCTGAGGCCACGCAGACCCCGCGTGTGCTTCACCCCGGTTAAGCCTCTGGAGCGATGTCCCTCAGCGGAACAGACTTTTAAAAGTCCTGATTTCGTGCTCCGTTGCTCCGCCGCTTGCCGGGAGCCGGCCGCACCCCCGCGGTCTATCTTCCCGAAGCTTTGGATTCACTTCTCCGCCAGTCCTACCTTTCAGAAAGTGGTTGATTTTCTGTTTCTAGAATTGCTGTTCTTCTCTTCGATCTCCCGTTGGATTTGTAGGTGTTTGCAACCTTCAGATAAGCTATCTAGCTGATCTCCCACTATCTGAAGTAGTCTCAGCCTGCTACTTCTCTGCCATTGACTCCTCCCCTTCAACTATATACTTTTAATATAAGTATTTTCCTTCCTTCTTCTTTACATTACACATAGGATATTCTTGAAATTTATAGTTAGGTTAATTTATATTACCCAAGAATCTTATTTCAGGATAATAAGGGAGCAATCCGAAATACACGACTTTGGGAGCAACTACCCCCAACGGGTTGGTAAGTGACTTACAGTATTTAAAAATCACAATATAAAAATACATAAATGGGGAAAAAAATCCCTCCCCATATAGCAGGACAGAAAAGAACAGCTATAGTGGTGAACTGCTTAAACATCAATGCAAAGCCATAATTATGAGGCAACATTTTTTATAACATTGAGGTCCATTAAAATAATGATAAATGATATTCTTCAATTCAAGGACAGAGGCAAAGCTAAATTCAATCAGAAATATTCCTGTTCTTCAAAGTTAACTCAGACATATAATACATCTCGGTTGAGGTCGAAGAAATAGATTCTTAGTCTCACAACAAAGTGCCTTGAGTCTGGAAGGTATCTCTATCATTTCTGACCTTTTGAGCTTTTACCTCTTTAAGTATCCCTGTGTGCTTCGATTTTGCTTTTAGAATTTTCTGAAATTCCTCAGATTCCATGTAGGCAAGTTGTTCTCTCCTTTTTTTCCTGGCAGGCTCTAATTCATCTTCAGCTAGAGCAGAAAGGAAACACAGTAGCTGTCACAGTGGAATTTCAGAAAGCCAGGCAGCCTCATGAACTCAGTTTCCTCTAGTTCTCTCCATCTCTGCCAGTCAGGCCCCTCAAACTTCATTTACCCCACTAGGTACCAGCAGAGGAAAACTCTTCAGGAGTGAACTGAGAAGTAAGCTCTAGAATATGGGGGATGGCAGATTTGACCACTGGATCAGAATCTCTTTCACCTTAAGATAGGAGTGGACTATGATGATAGGTAACATCAAAAAAAGTCTTTTTAAATAAATTGATGGTAAAGTATTACTGCCAGCTTCAGAGTTTTCAAAGTAAAAATGATAATTTACAAACAAAGAAATTCCACTGCTTTCAAAATCTTTACACTAATATATCTGTGTAAAGATCCATGAGTAATCTTTTTCTCAAGTTTTTAGATTATGCATAATTTCATTTCAATTTAATGTGCTTATAGAAAACGGTCCATTCCAGTTTGTAGAGATTCTACTTAGGTATCGTACAGAGAGGCCACTTTCAGTAAAACAATGACTTCCGGTATCAGGGATGGTGATTATGGTTTGGAACACCTCCTCACAGATGGTGGCCTTTCCCACTACTAACTCTGAAATCCCCAGTACCTTGAGGAGAAAAGGTGTTCTTTTCTACACGTTCCTTTACTTCCAGGACATCCTGGGGGTCCTTTTGCTTCTTTTTAATGCTGTTTGGGTCTGTTTTTGTAAGAATCTGGCCTCTTGCCCTTAATTTGGTTATAGCAGCTAACTAGGAAAAAAAGATAAAAATCTCAATTACGAGTCAGGTATCTGTCGCCCTATGTCCCTTTTCTAGTTATTAATCCAGTGAATTCTGCTTTCAAATACAAATCAGCAAAATATACCTTCTTTTTGCCTAACATTATTAACCCAGTTATTAAAATTTTAAAGCATGGAGACAGGTCTATAAGCTAATAAAATTTCAGTTTAAATATTAAGTTAAACATCACTTATACTGTGGGCTTCAGGACCCACAGAGGAATCACATAAACACTGTGGAAATTTGTTTTACAATTAAACAGAATGAGGATAGTGTCCTAGCTCTGCCACTTATTAGTTTGTAACCTTACACAAATTACTTAATTTTTCAGCCTCAGGTTCTACATTTATAAAACGGAGATGATAGTGTTTACTAGGTTGCGCAGATGAGATAGAGAATGAATGCAAAGCACAAACCTATACAAACAACATGTGTGTCTATATCACGGGTACATGTGCAATTATTCTGTTTTACAGTTTATTTGTTCAGTAATCTCTATACCCGACATGGGGCTCAAACTCATTACCCCGAGATCGCATGTGCACTTGTTATCACTATCATTACTGCAGGTGCAGCTTTGGCTTATAACAGGCCTTTGCCCTTCACGTGGTGCAGCGGCTAACTAGAACAAAGAGAGGACAGGCTCTAATTAGGGCTCAGAGTGGCTGAGGAAGAGGAGAGGGGGCTTCTGAGCACTCCCAACTTCCATGTCAATCAAAGTAATTTAGCTCCTGTGTAAGACTTCTTTTATTTATTTTAAAAGATGTGACAGAGGGAGACACAGCAAGAGAGGGAACACAAATGGGGGAGTGGGAGAGAGAGAATCAGGCTTTCCGCCAAGCAGGGAGCCCAATGTGGGGCTGGATCCCAGGACCCTGAGATCATGACCTGAGCCAAAAATAGACATTTGAAGACTGAGCCACCCAGATACCCCAAGATTTTATTTTGTAAGATTTCTTTTAAAGAAGGATTCTTTAAACAACCACTTTGCAATCTTGCCTTAACAAGTCCCAGAATTTGTTTCCTTTGGGCTAGCCAGCATTTAGGTCATCTCCCTCAGCCTCACAAGGAACAGTGTTGAGAACAGATAATATGCTTGGATTAAATCAATGTTGATACCATTATCACTTGAAATTCCTTTGACTCTAATTATCATGGTCAAGAAATAGCTGTTACTGTCTGTCTTTCCTAATCATAGATACAAAAAGTTTGCAACTCCAGCTATGTCCTACAGGATGCAAATTCAAATGTTGAAAATAGATGCCACTTACCTTTTTGGCTTCTGCTAAAGCACTCAGTTTTGGTCTTGGTGGTGGTGACTCATCAAAAAAGAGAACATCATCTCCTTCTGAGATGCCTCGCCCAAGCTTGGGCATCTGTGTAGCTGGCGTTCCTTCCAGGCTGGGCAACGCAACCCCCATTTGCAAAGACTGAGAAGGGGCCCGTTGAGAGGAGGGTGGCACAGCTGGGCTCTTGACCCCACTTGAGCTTTGGAGAAATCTTTAAGGAAATACACAGCCACAGATACGCAGACTGAGACACTGTAGGCTAGGCCACCAGCTGATAAGTAGTCATTAGTAAATAAGCTGCCGCTTCTTGGTCAAGAATTCAGATTAGCACACACTGAGAACATGCTGGCTTTACTAACTCTGGTTAACAGATTATTCATTGATGAGTTCTCATTTCACCAGTTTAGAACTGATTACTATTTTTGCTAACTGGCTTTCTAGTGGGTGCCTCTCTATAGAACACAGCCCCGAAGGTGAGATGTGGGCTGTCTTCCTAGCTCTCTGGTTAGCTGGGACCTTCAGGAACTTGTGGAATTTCTCTATATTTTAGTTTATTGGGAAGAGATAACACACAGGATACATCTGAAAGTCCTTCACGGAAAGAACCTATAATTTGCATGGTGATTATTTGGTAAATAGTCTTAAAGTCTAAAAGGCTATTGAAAAACAACAGTTGCCACAAACTATGCAGTCTAGAACTCTCATTTAATAAATGAAGAAATTAAGGCCCAAGACTCTATTGCTCGTGACAGGCTGAGGTCTAGCACTGGGTAATCCCAGGCCAGGATTGTTTTCACTACCACATGCCCGCTCCTGTAACCTCTCTGTGAGACCCTGACCAAAGAGATGTTTTATTTGGCTAGTAAAATTCTGAAAAACTTCCAATACCTTCAAATGAGTAGGTGACCCCTATTTCACACAAGGCCACAACTCCATGTATTATCTATTTACATCATGTGTAGTCACATGAAGAACACCTCTAGAGATATTCCATCAGCACCTCAAACTCACCTGCCTGAGGCCAAATCTATGCTCTGGACTTTTCCAAAGAGTTTCCTGGTGACATAAAGTTGACTTTCCTGTTTATTGACCATCTATCTTTCAGTGGCTCAGATTTGGGATAACTGTTTTAATGGGGGCAGAACAGGTGAGAGTCCAAACATGACTCCATCACCAACCAGTTCTCTGGCGCTCAGTTACATGACTCATAAAACAAGGATAACAGCCCCTCACAGATTATGTGAAGGCCTGAGTGAGACACTGTCTTTATGCGGTGCACGTCTTCATACACATGACACGTCTGTAGACTGTTACTCTTATCACTATTCTGGTAACTTGAGTGCAAGAATCTTTGATTCATCTACCTTCTGCACTGTTTTTCACTTGTTTCTGCTTCTAAAATGACTCTCCACTTTCAGTGCCTCATTTTTACCATCTACCTGAACAACTGCAAATTACTGGCTTAGCCTGTAATTTACAAATGAAATGTGGTAGAACTAAGAAATGAGAGGAAACAGGTCAACATGCGCTTTCCCCTTTTCCAAAACCCTCTTCGAGGGTTCCTTCTTTCTCTTCTTCCCTGGGGTGTTAATTACTGTAACCTGTCCCACCTGGTCTCAGATTTGATAGAAACAGAACTCGAAAGGCTATCTTCTTAGGTTAAGTTAAAATTACTTTTGAACTTTCAAAGTTAAAATGGTAGCCAACCCAAAATCTAAAGCCACATTTTGGAAACCCATTAAGACATTTTGAGGATCCCTGAGATGTAAATATGGAATATTAAAGTAGTTATTCTTACTGTTTCTGTATTTCTTCTGACCTCTTTTTCCTCATCTCCAGCATGTGCTGCTTCTGCTGCTTCAAGAGGGCTGATGCTGAGACAGACTGGAAAGCAGGTTTCGAGCTCCCCATCACCCCTGAAACACAAGCCACGGACTGAGTGGCTCCAAGGCGCCAGGAGAGCACAGACGTGGGGCTAGAGCAGGGACAGCTGACTCTACCTGATAACCTGGTTTTGGCTAAATGTTGTTTTAAGTTTCTGGCTCCAAACGTAGGCAAGTCCATCAGTTCCCTGAATTCCTCAGAGCAAGACAAGCTCTTCTGGGGTATTCCTGGAATATACAAACATCAGCTTTAGAGGATTCAAAGTTCTGGCAGTTTGAGATTATGTGACATCACTTTTAAAACTCTGCATTCACAACTTAGTCATTTGTAAATGCAGTAGGTGGAATGCCAAGAGAAAAAAAGAATCCTTAGCCTCTAGTAGACTAGTAGGACTGCAAAGGTGTGACAAATAGATCTTATTTCAAGGGATGATTAGGACACCAGTATCTGTATGGTCATTTCCTACACTACATCCGGAACGTTCGCTATGGGTAGGGTATGTCCTAGGCCCTCAACACTGTTAGGAACAAAGTCCCCAGTGAAAAGGGCAGAGGTGCCATTCTTTGAGTTACACCTTTTTTAATGAGAAGGTAACTGATGAGTATCACCAGTAACCTGATACTACCAATTTTAATACTGGACATTAAGAGTTAGAGCAGATACATCAAGAAAATCTACAAAGCATCTACTCAAAGACTCAGCCATGATTAATATGCTGTTTTTCCTTAAGATGCTGCAAAGCAAGGCTGATTGTTTCAGCTTAGGCCACATCACTCACTAGCTATAGTGATGAGTGGATATTTGTAACTTAGGGCATGAATAACTATGACCATTTTCAATCCTAAAGACTACATATTTAATCGCAGAAAGAAATACAGTATCAAGAAACAAAGTTACCAAGTTTTTGTTGGGTTTCCTGAATGATCAAGTCTGCCCCCTTAACGACCAGATCAGTCAGAGTGGTTTGAATCTTCTTTTTAGGAGCAACAGCAGCTGCACTGGAATGACAAGAGTCACCCCCCAAAAGGAAAGTCACTAAAATTCAATGCTCTGATGAGATAAAGGCACAGAAGTATTCATTTATTACAAATTATCAAAGTTTCTCAAAGCATTATATAAGAACTGTCGTAATACCACAATCCTACAGCATAGCTGGTGAATGCATTATGTCAGGCAACCTGCAAATTTGCTGGAGGCCATTCTGGAAAAGCAAGATGGCAAAAGAAATTAAAAAAATATGACACCACTTTGATCAAGTGGTCTGGAATTTATCTTAAAGAAATTAAGGAATAGGTAAAAACTTAGGATATTAATGAGCTAAAATATTGTTTGCAATGTTAAAAGTTAGAAGCATCATTAATGTCTATCCATTAAGCATTATGGGAATGGTTTTATCACACAGCCATGTAAAAGACTATGTGGCCACATATGCATATGCATATTCAATAAGGAAAGTATTAATTATTTTATGGGGGCAGGGAAGTTGCAAAGTGTAGGTCCAGTATTATCTCACTTTATATTACTGGAATTTTATACACATGGTAAAAAAACATCTAGAAGCATATACAGCTGTGTGTGTGTGTGTGTATATGCATGTGTTTACAGAGAGCAAGGAACTAATGATTATCTCAGTAGCAGAATTACACCTAGTTTTTATCATCTCCTTTTGGCTGAACTGCATATATACAGATACATTCTTATAATGTAGGACTATTGGTTTCTGCACTTTGGAAAAATATAGACATTACTTTAAATCTTAAAAATGTGTTTGATATAACAAGTCAGGTAGGAGGTGAGAGTCTTCTTGCCCAATTTCTGTTTGCCTGGGAACAAACTATTTTGTTCTTGGACCAGGGGTAGCTCCTTTGAGACAGGTTCCCACTGGTCATGTCCTCAGATATGCTTTCTACCCTACAGTGGCAAGGCCTTTGATCACCTACTTTGGGGACTCTATGGAGGGCCTGAGATCCCCAGAACACGGCCATGAATGTGTGACTCAACAGCATTCCACTCTATTTAAGGCTTTACTGCTATTAATTCAGAGTTAAATGTGGCTTCCAAGAGATCTGCCACCTCATTGTAAGAGTCAGGAGGGGAATGACTTAATGGATGCCAACAATGGAATTAACATACTTTTAATGGCCATACAATAAGACCTGACAATGTTGTACTACTTACTTTAGTAGCAAAATAAGAAGTGTGGGCTGTGTTAAAGACCATCATGATAAAACTTAACTAATATCCGCCCGGCCCCCCGTGTTTTCCTCTCTACCTGGAAATAAAGGAGGTCCTTGTCTACCTTGTTCTAGCCCATGAATTTATGAAAGATAAAACCTGTACAAGTCTTCTAGGACCATTACAGAAAAGTACAACCATAGGGTTTATTCTCACAAGTAGGGTACCAAGATCTCTATCCTGAAAGATTCCCCAGAGAATGTCTTACATTGAGGCTGCATACGATGCAGAAGAAACCCCTCCATAGTAGAAACCATCCTGACACAGCCGTTCTCGTAGGCTGGTGCCTTTGCGGGCAAACTTCTTTGGAATTCGTCCTCCAGAGAAGGTGGACTGTAGGTCGGCTCGCCTGGCACTGAGCTTCTTGTACTGGGCTTGGATGTGATACTGACAGTACTCACAGTCGTTCTGCAAAAGGAAGAGCAGCTGTCTCAGGGCTAGGGCGACACATCAGGGAACAGTGTCAATAAACACTATTCCTGGGGTGCCTGGGTGGCTCAGTGGGTTGAGCCTCTGCCTTCAGCTCAGGTTGTGATCCCGGGGTCCTGGGATCAAGCTCCTCTGCTCAGCAGGGAGCCTGCTTCCCCCCCATCTCCCTCTGCCTCCCTCTCTGCCTACCTGTGATCTCTTTCTCTCTCAAATAAATAAATAAAACCTTAAAAAAAAAGAAACCCACTATTCCTTTCTCCCTGCTTCAGGGGAACTAATGAGTGTACAGCTATGCAGCGACTTCCCTGAAATTCCACTTAAAAGCTCTAGTTGGGTGAAAGAAAAAGTGATACTGTTCACCGCATATGCCCTTTTGCTACTATGGAAATAAAATCAACTAGAGTGAACCTTGAAAACATTATGCTAAGTGAAAGAAGTCAGACACAAAAGGCGACATCACCAGGGGATGGAGGTGAGAGGTAGGGAGTGGTTACTTAATGGGTATGGTGTGTTTCTGTGGGATAACGAAAGATTTCAGAAGTAGAGAGCTGGTGTTTACATATGCTGAATATCACTCAGGTATATATTTAAAAATGGTTAATTGTAGGTTATATGAATTTTACCTCAATACAAACTGATTTAAGAATAAAAGAACATTGGGGCACCTGGGTGACTCAGTCTGTTAGGTGTCTGACTCTTGATTTTGGCTCAGGTCATGATCTCAGGATCGTGAAATCAAGCCCCACTTCAGGGCCTGCATTGAGGGTGGAGTCTGCTTAATACTCTCTTGCTCTCCTCCTACTCCTCCTACTCCCCTAAGAGCTCTCTCTAGCTCTCTTAAAAAAAAAAAAAAAAGAGTAAACATTAGGTTCTAGTGAAATTTTTCTATTTTCCTCTGGCTGCCTCCTGGACGAATGTTACCCTTCGGTGAAGGAAAAAAGGGAAACATGCTAATGTTCCATTGGGTGGCTCTTAGATGCAGCAACAAACGGGTTTTTAATGATTGCACTGCTATGTAGAAATATGTCAGGCACTTCCTGCTGATACCTCTTTTTCCAACTATTTCTCTCCTGCTATTTCCTGCTCACTAGCTCATCTGTGAGGCAGGAATGAGGGAACTAAAAGGAGACAAAACAAAAACTTGCCATTTAATCTGTTCAAAGAGCTCTAATTAGCACCACTTCGCACCCACTAGGATGGCTGTCATCAGTGACAAGACAAAAACAAGTGTTGGCCGGGATATGAAAAAAAACGGAACCCTCCTCTCTGCTGGTGAGAATGTAAAAGCCACTTTGGAAGCCAGTCTGGCAGTTCCTCAAAAGCTGAAACATGGGGTTATGGTGCAACCCAGAAATTCCAGGTTATATACCCAAGGAAACTGGAAACATCCATCCATCCGTCCACATAATAACCTGTGCAAGAATGCTGAAAGCAGGGACACCTGGGTGGCTCAGTCAGTTAAGAGTCTGGCTTCAGTTCAGGTCATGATCCTGGAGTCCTGGGATCAAGTCCCACACTGGGTTCCTTGTTCAGCAAAGAGTCTGCTTCCCCTCTGCCTCTACTGTTCCCCCTGCTTGTGTTCTCTTTCTCTCTCTCTGACAAATAAATCTTAAAAAAAAAAAAAAAAGATTGCTGATAGCAGCAATATTCGTAATAGGACCACTGACTAATGAATAAACAAAAGCAGTCTGTGCATATGATGCAATATTACTCGACCACAAAAAAGAATGAAGTACTGACGCATGTGACGTGAACAAATCTTGTAAACATCACGCTAAGTGAAAGCCAGACACAAAAGGTCATTGACTGTACAATTCCATTATATGAAATGTCCAGAGAAGGCAAATCCAGACAGAAAGCAGAGTAGTGCTCACCAGGGGCTGGGGGAAGAGGGTGATGGGAGATGACTGCTAACGAGTATGGGGTTTTTTTTGGGGGGGTACTGGGAAGGGGTCTGAAATTACATAGTGGTGATAGCTACACATCTCAGTATTAAAACTACTATACTGTACACTTTAAAAGGGTGAACTGTATGATACGTGAATTATATCTCAAGTTATCATGACTATTATTTTTTAGAAAGCTCTAAGAAAATACATGTTGGAGTTCAGAGATTAAAATAAGGTTTTCAGTGCATTTCATTACAGTGTTTGGTCTCTGGCACTGCTCAGAATTGAGGGCAAACTCAAATTCCATCTTCCTTATACTTCCTAGTCAGTTGGCAGTAAAAGATCACCTTATTAAATCCTTCCCTTGTCCTCAGTTTTTCCAACTGGCAGTTACTCACCACACACTGAATTTTCTTACTTTGGTGCTTCTTGTTATGCAGAAAACTCTGTTGCAAACAGATTATTACCACTAGGCTATCTACAGTCTACACCCATTAGATCCCATCTCCAGGAGAAACCATCCCAACAGGGTGGAAACCAACCAAATTAACAGTCTGTGTACATGGCTGTCCATTCTTCTTCTTTGCTTTACAGGTTCCCAGATCAAGAGCTTCACCCATGATCAAGACCTTCTGAGGATGATCAATAGACAAACACACCTGCAGAGAAGACACGGGGTGGGAGTTAAAAGCCCACAAAGGTATGCCCTTTCATTGGCAAGAATAAGTAAGAGGCTGGCTGGTGGGAGTTAGCAAGGCTAACTACAGGAATTAGAAACCAGACCCTGCAAAACAGCTGTAGGAATAGGAGGAATAGAAGACATGGTCAATTCTGTACCCAATACCCGTTCTCTCCTGTGCCTCTGCTATAGAATCTGGATCTCACTTGGGCTGGCCAATGCTCATCTTCAGGTGATGGATCCTGTTCATTTCCCCAGCATCCCTTGAAGCTAGCAATGGTCATGAGACTGTGTTCCGGCCAAAGAGACTGACACAGGAGTTCCCAACAAAAGCAGACAGGGTGGTGCTGGCCCACTCCTGCCTTGAATGGCAATATAAGGGAAAGAGCTTCAAAGCCATCCACTGGAAGAGGAGAAGGCTGAGAGGCTCACAGACACTGGTCCTGACATCACTACATTGTCTACACTGGGATTATTTATTATGGGAGAAAAACACACCCCAATGTTTACCATTAAAACAAACTGGAGTGTGGGCGCCTGCCTGGTCAGTTAAGCATCTGACCCTTGGTTTTGGCTCAGGTTGTGATCTCAGGGAGATGAGCTTGAGCCCTGTATCCAGCTCGGGTTAAGATCCTCTCTCCCTCTGCCCCTCTGGCTTGTGCTCTCTCTCTCTCTCTCTCTTTAAAATAAATAAATAAATCTTAAAAAAAAAAAAACAAAATAAAACCAAAAAAACCTGTAGGGAAGTTTTTCTCTATTGTTCCTAAACACATTTTGAACCAACAGATGATTTGTTGCCATTCTATGGTGAAAGGAAGAAGAGAAATAACTCTGCCTCTCACAGATCTCTGTCTGCAATAGCAGAGAAAACTCTACTGCTGCTTAAGAAGATAAAATCACTCTGATTCTAAGTTGCAGCTACAGCTGTACAACTAATGGAGCAAAGTCCCGTCAACTAGAAAATCCTGCCTGCTTGATGCTCCCAACGGAGATCTGTGAGAGAGATGTAAGGAGACCTGAGCAGAATAGTTCAAAACACTCCAGGAAACCTAGAACTGATGTGGAAAGATTTAACGAAAGAAGCTGTTATGAAACACTTAAGAGTAGGTGGAAATTCAGAATATTGGTGGGTGAGGAACAAACAAAAAGTCAAATCAGTGGAGATATATAAAAGCCTGATTCAGTATCTGGAGGTAGACAATTTTTTGAAAGAACTTGGCTAAGCTATAAAGACAAGGAAGGATGGAAGGAAGGGAAAGAGGGAGGGAGGGAGGGAGGGAGGAGGAAGGAAGGAAGGAAGGAAGGAAGACAGAAAGAAGGAAGGAAGGAAAGGACAGAAAGAAAGATGGAAGGACAGACAGAAGGAAGGATGGAAAGAAAGAAATGAAAGAAGGAAAGAAGGAAGGAAGGAGGGAAAGAAGGAAGAAAGGAAGAAAGAAGCCATGGAAACAGACTCTTACCTCCTCTGAACCATCCTTGGGCTTCATGGGGTTTGCGTTGAGCAGCCCTATAACAGTACCCTGTTCAGTCTTCCAGAGCTCTTTGTGAACTTCTCCAAACAAGAACAATGACACACACCGTGTCAGGTCACGAAGATCATTCAGTCGCCAGATACTAAAAGTTTTCCCCTGGAACAAATATTTATTTTTATTTTTAATAAATTTTGCACAATGGGCTATACTATCTCCATTTATGGTTCAAGTGCTCTACTGTGAAAGCATATATAAATATAAACCGCCCTGACTATAAAATCTTGAGACTGTCTGTTCATTATAAATTAAACCTCTCTCTAGGCTTTAGTATTTATTACCTTTCTCATTTTAGAAATGAAGGTGAAGTAAGGCAAGTCAGTAGCACAAATGTTAGTGAAGTCTCTGATTCTCAGGTCTAAATAGTCAATGGGATAGTATGACCTTTCTAACTGCACACACATGCGCGCGCGCGCACACACACACACACACACACACACACGGAGTATTAGAAGGACCAGAGGAGGTTGTGGCACTATCATTTAACAATTTACTGATATAAATTTAAAGGATCTATTATTTACCACTGGTTAATTATATTATTAATATTAATAAAAAGATGTCAGCTCTGTGCTATTCAATCTTTGCCTAGCTTAGAAGAAAAACAAAAGTATCATTTAAAGACAGCTGGTTATGTTTAACTGTAAAATTTCAGAAGCATTACATATCTGAAGAAATGCAACTCAAAATGCTAACCATTTATATAAAAATTTCTACTTTCACAGTTATTACTTAAACAAAATAATCTGAATATTGAATCAAACTATTTCACACAGGTATCCCAGAACAGGTGTGGTCATAGGTTATGGTGAATTATTGACTGGATTCAAGTGTTATAACTATGTTTCCATGGATTTGTACAAGGTCTTTCTTGGAAGGGTTCAGATAAAATTTCACACCTGTTATTTCAATGTCATTATAGCCATTTGTGACACAATTAAGAACTTAATAAAATGAACCAGATGTGTTCACATTCACCTTGACAAAGGGCTAGATCAAGAACCACATAACAATCTAAGGTTGACCAAGATCTCAATTAGAGAATGAAATCACAATTAAGCATGATTAAGCACAGTATTTGAGAGCTCAGAGAGAATTCTGGTATAACCAAAAGCCAATTCTTTCCTTTTACAAAGAAGGAAATGGATGTCCTCAAAGATTAAAGGTCAACCTAAGTTCACATAGCTAGGGAGATTGAGGCTCAGGCTCCAGGTTTTCTCAGTTGCCAGGCCACAAGTCATCTTCCTGTTACCTCTCAGTCAAGTGCGATTTTAAAACCTGTTAGAACTTTTCTAAGATCCACTGTGCTGGCACAGGATGGCAATTTTAGAACTTCTGAGATTGACCTCTTCCTTCTAGGCACGCTCTCTGGAGCATCTAGAAACTCGGCTTCTCTCCCACAAGAGGGATGACAGTGTCACAGGAGCCACCACATGTACCCCCAAAACAATGACAAGTGAAATGCAGCAGTAATAATACAATGAAAAGCCCAAGGACTCTGTACAACCAGGTCTTGTTATTGCAGGGCATTCTTTACAAATTTAACCTTTAGACAGCAATCCAACGATGGTGAGGCAATCTGCGAACTTGCTAGCAGCATTCTCAAGATAAAATACTGATAGGCTTAAGGTAGAGAAATCCTGAACATGAGCACCTATGGTCAGCTTGTGATGGAGCAGTTAAGAAATCAGTAGGCTTACACTATTAGAACTCTGTGGAGTGATTTTCTTCAATATAACCCCGAAAGTCACCCAGTCTACTTCTTCTAGCTGCTCACTTGCCATCTTTTCCTTGAGCTGAGATAGTCTGATCAGTTTTCGGCCAACCATTTTCTTGTTCATCTCTGTGGAAGACACTCGAGGCCGCCTGGGTCAAGAAACCAGCAAGGATTAGATTATTATTCTAATTAAGAGATTACCTGGCATTGTAGGAAAAAGAGCACAGGTACTTTTCTTCACATTAGTTACAAGAAGGTACTACTATCCCGGTTAAACTGTATATACCTTTATGGGCTTAAAAATAGTCTCCATCACTGTTTCTGATGAAATAAACTATTATTTATTTGTCCACTTCCTTTTTGCAGATACATGATCTTCTATTCATATTAAATGAATAAATGAAAATGCATTCTTTTTTTTTTTTTTTTTAAAGATTTTATTTATTTATTTGACAGAGAGAGATCACAAGTAGACAGAGAGGCAGAGAGAGAGAGAGGGAAGCAGGCTCCCTGCTGAGCAGAGAGCCCGATGCGGGACTCGATCCCAGGAACCTGAGATCATGACCTGAGCTGAAGGCAGCGGCTTAACCCACTGAGCCACCCAGGCGCCCCGAAAATGCATTCTTTAAACATTTCACAAACTGTACTGAATGCTATGGCTCATCTTAGTGCCAAGTTTTGCCAAATTCAAGAGCTGTTGGTGTTAAGTGGATCTGCTGTACAAACACATCATTTCAAAAAGGCTTAATCCTTGGGAAGGAGGACAAAGCATCTAGTGATGCCATAAGAACCGAATGTGAGGGCTCTACAGTTACTGACCTGAGCCTCAGGCCTGAGAAGGCTTCCAAGGAGACCACTGTCTGGGCCGGTTTGCCTGAACTCCTGGGGGTCCCTGTGCTCTGATCTCTGACCAACCCACTAGGTTTGTTTCCAGGAGTAGTTCGGAGTGGTTGGGGAGGTGTACTTGTCATCTTCGAAGATGTGATTTTGGGCTCTAGAAAATTAACATAAAAGTTAAGTGAAAGGAAAAAATCCCACTGATCCTTACAAAATTTGTTCTTATAGAATTGCTTCTTTTAAAATCAACATATGCAATAACCAAATCTTGAGAACAAAGGACGCCCACAAGACCATTTCTGTACTATTCCTCCAAACCTCTGCAGTGTAGCCCGAAAGAACTTCCTGTGACAATGGAAAGGTTATACACTGATGCTGTATGATATGGTGGCCACTGAGCACTTAAAATGGAATAGTGTTTCCAAAGAAATGAATGTCTAATTTTATTTAATCTAATTTAAACTTAAAAAGCCACATGTAGCAGGTGGCGGCTATATTATAGTGCTGCTCTCAAACACAGATCCTTTGTGCAATGACATTTACTGAGTATTCCCCATACACAGATTGCTGTGGTAGACTCCACGAGGGAGTAAGAGCCCTCCTTCAGGGATCAATTAGTGATTTGTGTGTAGATCAACTGTGATGGGATCAATTCGTGATTTGTGTGTAGATCAACTTTGACCTGAAGAAAATCCAATGTTAGCTTCCCTTTCTTTGTTTCTGGTTTCATCTCATCCCATTCCGTTCCATTTCATTTCATTTGTGGTGGTGGTGGTGGGGAAGGGGGTGGGGAACTAGGGGGACCAGGGTATTTTGCTGACTTGGTTGCATTAAATATCCCCAAGGTAGTTAGTTTTCTTACTTCAGAAGTGTTTGATAATGTTCCTGAAGGTCAGGATATTTTGGATATTTTCCTTAATAAACCTATTTTCTCTGAAATAACACCGTATTGTTTTATCCTCAAAGAGACTTTGGGTCATCATCGTAAGCTTCCAGGGTCAGGACAACCCTAGAACTTTAGAATCTCTAGAAAGCCTGCCCATGCCTCACCCTCTCAAAACTTAACTTTGGACACTACTTAATGAAACACCTTATTAATGTCAAAGGTCCTAAAGGGAAGGATGCCATTCATAAGTGGATACATGGAATATAAAATTTGTTTCAAATGTGAATATGGAGAGGCTGTTATTCTCTGCTATTGTGTCTTATGCCACTGCTATTTAAAAGGGCCTTTTTGAACATGAGTGATCAATAACATGCTGTTTACTCTGAGTAACCAGACCATTTTGTCTTAGATCTTTCAAAGTATTACCATGTGCAAACTGAGGCAGTGCAACAAAATCAATACATAGGGGTCATAGATATTTTTCATTTTAACTGTGTGCTTACATGTGGGCTGAACCAGCACTATACTTGAGTATACGTCTCTACTCTGGGCAAAGAAGTCTTTTCTAAAGAATGGACCATCTGCTTTAATACAACCTGGCTTCAAATACAACTTAGCCATTTTAAAAGGAATCTGTGCTTGAACTCAGGGGCCCAAAGAGTCAATCTCTGGATTGCCTGAGAACTCAATCCAGTAGTTATACTTACTATAATTCAAGTCAACTGAAGACTACAGAGTTTAAAAAAATTCAATTCACTGTTTTAGTAAATATAGCTACTCTTTATCTAAGGATTTTCTAAGCACTCTGAGATGTAGAGAAAGATTACAAAATACACCACATGGCTCTCATTCCCAACAAACTTAATTTTCTCAATGGGCAGGTAAGATAGACCCCTGGCCCTCCCCCACCAGAAAGGTATGACAGTGCCCCCTGCACACAGATATGACAGTGCCAAATTGACTTTTAAATAGAGCAAGAGTAATGAAAAACCAGGGAGGCCTTGCCTACTATACCTGCAGATGAAATCTTTGGTGTCCGAGCCACTCGCTTGGTTTTTGGTAGAGCAGGGACATCAAGCTCTGCAGAGAAGCATGTCGACTCCTGAATTCTCTGAACTTTCTTCTCTTTAAGAGGGGAGCGTGGAGACTTCTCTACTTTTTGAAAAGAAAAAGAAATTCACAAAGGAAATTTAGAAAGGGGCTCAAAGTCTATTTTACCATCAGCTGAATGCAGAAAAAAATTGCTATAATTTCTTAACAACAGAATTGCACACTATTCCTAGAATTACAGTTTGATTACCAGATTTAGGCAGAAGGGGTGGACTTGCAGGTTGCTTAAGTGTTGCTATTTTTAGCTGTTCCTGTAAGGATTTCATCTGTTCTTGTAACTTCCTTAATTCATCTACGGAAGAAAAATATATTGATTTAAGATCCACAGCAGAAGAAATATTATACATGATAAAAATGTTGTAATTATTTTTGGTGTCTACTCCCCACCTTAACACCCTGAGACCCTCAATATAGTCACATACTGAGAACTACCATTAACTTTGGTACTTCAAAGAGGTTCTTCAGGGAAATAAACTTCGTATTTTCAGTAATCAAGCCTCTAATACCTAAGCTAGTTACAAACTGGTACTACTTACAAATATCACAGAAGCATATTCCCAGCTAACAAGTTTTTAGGTGTCAGGGAATGATTATTATATCATAAAGTGAATACCATAATTAATGCAATAAATGCGGGCTCCTCTATTAGAAGAAATAGACAACCACTGAATTTGATTATAATTTCAAAATATGTGAGACAATGTCACAAATTAGAAAAGGGCACTCCTCAAAGCTTCTGTTCATAAATGGCCTCTGGCCCAAATAGAAGGAGGAGAAGCCTACAGTCCTACCCCTGGCTCCACACGCATATAAACCTCTAAGTGAGATTTTTCTGTAATAGGCACGAAAGCTGGTGGAGCCATTCTGGGAAGGACTAGTTATGGCTGGCTGACACTGGGACAGGGGCCTCTGCCACCTGAAATGTCTCCTCTACTAATTCCCACCCTTTTTTTTGGTCAAGTCATTTATCACCACCCTGACTCAGCAGCTATTTTGATGAAAACTGTTGGCTCCCATCTAGTGTATCTTGAAGAAATTAGAAGAGCAAGTAGTTAGGGCACCTTGCAACTCTTGATTAGTTTTCCCCTGATTGGGAGCAGGAGCGGGGAGGACTCTATTTTTAGGTGATTGCTGTGTGGGAACTTCTTCTTCATCTGTTAAGTCCCCCATATCTCCAAAGAGAGTGGCCAAATTTTCCTTCCGCTCTTCAGTCTCTCCCAGGTCTCCATCAGCAGCCTCCTCTGAGTAAGATTCACCATCACCATCTGCATCAAAGAGCTCGTCATATGCGTCGGGTTCGCCATCCCCCTGGGTCAAGGGGTGACCCTCTTCTGGATTACAATCCAAGGCAGACTCATTCTCCTCCAGCAGCGCAGTCAGCAGAGACAAATCATCTTCCTCCCCTGTGCAGAAAGAAGGACAGACTATAAACGTACCTGAGAAAAACCAACAATGACAAGCACAATGAATTAAAACATTCACCATTAATAAGGCAACTGGAATGACTCTTTGATTCACCATTTTGCCTGGTAAAACTCTTGTCCTTATGTCCATCTTTCATCTCCCCAGGTGCTTAGAGGGCACCGGGCTAAGGAGAAAGAGGTTGGTATCTGCTTAGTGAACCCAGTGCACCATGCACAGGGCTGTGTCCTTTCACCTGTGCTACTTCAGCTGATAAGCACCTGCCTGCACGCCAACTTCCAAGAAACCCAATCCATAATAATGGGAATAATCCAAAAACACACTAAACATACATTTAGGCTCTTTCTAATTATTTGAGGAAAAAAAATTTCAAACGTAGGAAAAGTACAAAGAATTACATAAAATGTACTTATATTTCATCACATGTCATGTTTGCTTGCCTTTACACTGCATGACTTAAAAAAAAAAAAAGTTTATGAAGTTTATTGTGCCAAATCTTAACCAATTCCTTCCACTGCCTCCATGCCCCACTGCAATAAGTGTCATAATTTTGGTATATCATTCTAGTCTATTTTTCACTTTTTCATTCAACATTGCATATATAATTGATCTAAATCAAAACATAGAGTTCTAGTTTACTTCTTTCAGTGACTAGAGGGCATTCCATAGTAAAACTATCACATTTTATTAACTCATATTTTTAATCCAATCCAATATATGGGCCATTTCCAATTCTTTCCCATCACAAACTATCCAGCAACCATGAACGTGTCCTGCAATATGTGTGAGTTTCCTGGAAATACCTATCAGAAGTGGAATTGCTGGACTATTGCATATGCACATTTTTCAACTTTCCTAGATACTGCCAAACTGGTCCCAAAGCGGTTATACCCTCACTAGCATTGCATGCAAGTACCATTTCTTCCTACCATCTCACCAATATCTGATATGTCACTTAAAATTTCTTGCTAGTCTGATGGATGATTTTAAAAGGCATCCCATTGTTCTGATTTGGATTTCCAGAATTCTTGTAAGGCAAAGAATTATGTTTATTGGCCCTTTGGATTTCTTCTTTCTTGATTTGTTTATTTTCTGTGCCCCCCCTTCCCCCCCCCCCTATTTGGGCATTAGTCCTTAATAAATCTAAGCCATTTTAAAGCAGAGACATTAAGGCTATTTCACACACCCCCTTCACCTCAAAGATAAGGGCTGAAGTACAGAGAGGTCAAAGGCTTGTTCAGGACCATATGGTGAAACAGGTCAGCACAGGAGGCTCACTTAGGGGTGCCTGGGTGGCTCAGTGGGTTAAAGTTTCTGCCTTCAGCTCAGGTCATGATCCCAGGGTCCTGGAATCGAGCCCCGCATCAGGCTCTCTGCTCAGTGGGGAGCCTGCTTCCCTTCCTCTCTCTCCGCCTGCCTCTCTGCCTGCTTGTGATCTCTGTCAAATAAATAAATAAAATCTTTAAAAAAAAAAAAAAAAGGATGGCACTCTCTAGACCAGAAAACCAATATTCTTTCCATTATTCTGCATTCTTAGCAGATGGAAAACAGCCAGTAGCCAAACTCATGGCCTAGAATCTGATAAAAGGGTCTAAAGCTTAAAGTCAGAGGTTACATAATGATTTATCTGAATTGCTGAGTCAATACTCCAACTGCAGGGTGCAGCAAGAGAGAAGAGGCAATTTGGCTCCCTGTGCTCTAGGTGAGACAGCCACATTCCCTCAATAGAGCCAAGAGGCCCTCCTCTGTCTGGCTACCAGCTGTGGAAGACAGCACACCCCAAGAAGAGGCCTTGGCTCATACCACTGGGAGTCCCAGGTGACAAATGTGGCCAAGTGGCTCCATACCCTTCCTTGAACCCATTTTCTTTCATGAGAGCACCAGGTCTAATCCCGTGATACCGCCCATCCTGGTTTAACTCAGTCACCACAGAAAATCCTGTCTTTTCCATGTTATGTTGACCCAATCTCCGTGTTTCCTCATTCCATTTATACACTGGACCCTCTTCCTTTTAGCTCCTCAAGGACTTAAGCCTATAAGCACCAGCTCTCATCCCCACATCACCCATTATTCCCTGTCTTTTGGAGCATTTCTCTCAGCATACAAATTCATTCTAGTATCTTCCATTGTACCAACTAGCTGATATTTTCCTACTTATTTGTTACAATCTTGCTCTCTGTACTAGAATAGAAGCAGGGATTTTGTTCAACCATGTATGCCCAGCACCAGTAAATGCTTTGATTCCATCTGTACTGAACCAGATTATTAACACTATGCTAACCAAATCAATGTTTATTAGATACAATGATTTCTTAGAGAACACATACCATTCACCACTTACTCTCATAACTGTCTCCCAGCAAATAATTATACTTTATATTAAATTAACTGCCCAGAAGGCAATTTGATGATTTTTGGAAACAGGACACTATTATTTTACCAAAGGTACAATCAATGTCATGTGTTATTATAGTGTGAGGAATTTCAACATTTGGTTCTCCTTTTTTGAAAACGGCAGGGTATAAAATTAGAAAGGACTATAAGAGTTTAACCCAGAGCTAGATAAAACCATTTCAAGGACTTCATTATTAATTGTGAACTTTGAAGTCAAACTGCCTGGGTTCAAATCCCTGCTCTGGCAGTCTCACCCATGACAAATTACTAACCATCTGTCTTCCAGTCTAAAAAATATAGTTGCTCGGAGGACTAAGGAAGTTAATATAAGTAGGGAAGAAGTTAAAATAAGTAGGGACCTTAGAATAGTGCTTGGCACGTTGTAAGTACATGCCAACTATCATTATTATGAAAGACAATCAATGCTGCCAGGAGATAAAATCCCACCTGACTGAACAAATAACATTCACTGACTGAAGTGAGATCTTCTCTGAACCACTGAGAAAATACTTGAGGGTGGGGTATACCTATTTTCACTATTTTGCAAGTAAAATAAATAAGTCTGTGGACAAAAGGGTAGTTTTCCATAAAAAAAAGAGAACTTACCATCCATGCTGTCAAGAGAACAGTTGTGATTGAGAGCTTCGAAGGAGAATCAGGTGCCCAGGAGATGGCAGTAATGTCAAATCTTGGCTAGGCTATGAAATCAACATGGGAAAAGTCACCCTTGATTGTCCCCTCTCTCACATCTCATAGGCAACAAATCTAGGATCTCACAAATCCTACAGGCTTAAAGCTCAGAATTCATCCAAAATCTGACCACTTCTCATCTCCACCTACCAACACCATCTCCCTTTATCTTGACTTCAAACTATGGTTTTAGAAACTCGGTTGATGTACCCTTTGTAAGGTACTAGATTACATGGATGGGACGGATTATGGACAAGTATTATTGAGAGTGGTCTAAATATTAGGGTTACGATCCCGTTTTATTTACTATGACACATGTGACGGCTACCTTATCCATAGCAGTCTAGTGGGTGGTTCTACTCAATTGCAGCCTTAGTCACATCAGGATTTCAATTCAATACTACTCAGCAAAACTCAGTGTTGGCAGAGCTAAGAAGGGTAAAATCATATTATTCTGTGCACTGCCCTTCTTTCATTTAATTGATTTTTAGAAAAAGATTTTATTTATTTGAGAGAGAGAGCATGCACAAGGGGAGTGGGGGACAGCAAAGGGAGAAGGAGAAGCAGCCTCCCTGCTGAGCGGGCTCCAAGCAGGCTCCATCCCAGGACTCTGAGATCAGTGACCTGACACAAAGGCAGACACTTAAATGACTGAGCGACCCAGGCAACCCCATTAAATTAATTTTAATAACTGCAAGAAAAAAGTACAAATTTTCTAAGCTATTATTTAACTGATGAGCTTTACAGCTAACCTTGGTATGTCTAATATCAAGTATTAATTACGATGCTTTCTTTTTATTCAACAAATATTTCTGTGGAAGTACCGTGTGCACCACACTGTGTTGAGAGTCTCCTGGGAAACCTGCTGGACTATAAGCTTCCTGAGGGTTAGCCAACTGTTGTATTCATCTCTATAACCAACCACCTTTTTCCCCTCAAAGCTGTGTACTCTACCTCATCCTCACATTCAGGACCACCCAACAGCTGCCATCGGGTCTGTCTCCAAAATACTGCTCTATCTTTTGCCTGAACCTATTGCATGGGCTTCTGGTATTGGTCTCTTTGTTATCTCTTCTCCAAACAGCAGCCACCATAATCTTTTTTTTTTTCTTAGTAATTTTCTAGGAACGTACAGTGGATCGTGGTATTCCCTCAATAATAAGTCTTTAAAGGGGGGACCTGGGTGGTTCAGTCCCACCAGCGTCTGGCTTGGCTCAGGTCATGATCTCTGAGTCCTGGGATGCAGCTCCATGGGGGGCTCCCCACTCAGTGGGGAATCTGCTTTTCCTTCTCCTGCAGGAGCTCTCTCTCTCAAATTAAAACAAAACAAAAACCCCCAAAAAACCTCTTTAGTGATTTTTCATTGGTTGAACCAAATTTAAAAGTCTATGAGGAAATGGATACTCTGTCTCTCGCCTATTTCTCCTCAGACTAGACTGCCTTCATCTTCCCGAACACACTGAGTGCTCTCAGGCCTCCGGCTCTTTAGAAAGCGCTCCCCTAGCTCCTTCTCATCCCTTCGGATCCCCGGTAGACATCGATTTTTCTGAGCCTTCCACACCACCCTACCTGAGCGGCCGAGTTGGCACCCTCTCACACCTCATCCTTTTCGCGACTTCACTACACTTTCCACTGCGGGGTGCTTGTTAATGTCACTCTCTTGAGATTCTAAGCTTCGTGCGGGCATAAATAATTCATAAATAATTTATGTCTGGAGGCCGGCAGAGGCACACATTCAAGGACTATTAGCAAATCATGAATTTAAAAAAAATGAATGTTAAGTCCACACGGCATGCATTTGGCAGGCATTTTAAAAGCCTTCTTCAGGAAAAAACCAAATCCGGCTCCTTAAGTATAAACGACGGCCCGAGGCCTGGCACCTCCCCGGTGCTTCTGAGAGGGGCCCCTACCTTTCGGTCGCTCCTCAGCCGGCGCCCACCCGGCCGCTCGGACACCGCGCTCGCCCAATTCCAGTCTCTCCCGCCTGACCTCCCCGGGCTCCGCGCGGCTCGCCCTCGGAGCTCTTCAAACCTTCCCACAGACCCGCGTGGCGGCCACCCCCACACCCAGACTCCGACTTCTCTCACCCTATTCCGAGCCGGTTCACGTCCTACAGCCAGACCCGCCAAAATTCCAACTTGGCTCCACCCCACCTCTGACGCCAGACGCACGCCGGCTTCAGGCCGCGCTGATTGGCTAAAGTCAGCGTTCTTGGCAAGGAAAACCGGGATGAGTTAGCGAAATGCCGACCTTGCGTAGGGCAAGCTGATTGGTCCACGTGACGGCGCTCCCTCTTTGTTGGGGGTAAAGGAACTTCCGGTCGGTGAAGGCTTGGGTTCCTTTAGACAAAATCAAGTGTTCTAGCGACCCCCAGCGCCCGGAAGTTTAAGTCGTCCTGTAGGGTATTTTTACTGGCAGTGGAAACTGAATTCCTGACACTCTGTGGGACTATGTCATCCAGTCCTTCTGAGCTTCATTTTCTTTCTGTGAGGTGGAGGGTAACGCCTGAAGCCAAGCCTGCACTTACACACTTAAACAGGGAGCACATTCCAGACGTTTCTCCCGGCCCCACAAATGTTCTGTGTTGGACTGATCCTAGAGAGGTCTGAATAAACTGGATGATTATTTCACAACCTCTTGTGTTCAACTGAGATGACTAGACTCAAACAAAAATCTGGTTCACTTTTAATTCTGTCTAACTTTGGGGAAGTAACCTACGCCCTTGGGATTCTGCTTCACCATATGTAATATGAGATCTTAAGTCGATGACATTGTTTTATGCTATAGAAATCACTCTTCACAGAGGAATTTGTGTTCCACAGGTTTGGAGAATTTAAACTGGCATTAGACTAACTTGTTAGAGGGCCCTATTTTTCACGGGATATTTTTTTAGTAAAATTCAGACTTTTTTAGGTATTTCCATTCTAAAAATGGTGTTTGTACATAATTTTGAGAACTGCCATGTCTACATGCAGGATTATATTTAGCTTCTACATAATTTGAAGGAATTCAAAGCAGAAGAGTTTTTGATGGAACAAATGACCACTTTTTAATTAGTTGTTTTTTTTTTTTAAGAAAAAAGTTTATTTATTTGAAAGAGAGAGAGAATGAGAGGGGAGAAGGTCAGAGGGAGAAGCAGACTCCCTATGGATCTGGGAGCTGGATGTGGGACTCGATCCTGCGAATTACGGGATCATGACCTAGGTCAAAGGCAGTTACTTAACGAACTCAGCCACCCAGGCTCCCAATTAACTTTTTTAATTAAAATTTTAGTAATTAACGTACAGTGCAGTACTGGTTTCTGGAATAAAATCAGTGATTCATCACTTACAACACCCAGTGCTCATCGTAACAAGTGTCCTCGATACCAATCAGCCATGTCGCCCATCCCCCAACAACCTCCCTCCATCAACCCTCATTTGTTCTCTGTCCTTAAGAGTCTCTTAGGTTTGTTTCCCTCTTTTTTTTTCTTTTCCCCCTTAGCATATGTTCATCTATTTTCTTTATTAAATTCCACATATCAATGAGATCATGTAGTATTTGTCTTTCTCCGACTTTCAAATAACAATTTTCAGTCTTTTTTTTATCCTCCTCTCACGGGCTCTATTCAGGCCCTGCACCACCTCACTAATTATTTCATGTAAGATTGTATCTCTATCCATTGTGTTTGCTTTCATTTTCAGAAAAACTAAAATCAGCTTTAGGATGATGAAAATAAATAATCTGGATACCATCTACACTGATTTTTTTTTCTGTGTCCTAATGGAATATTAATGCTGCTTATTACCTGAGCTTATTATATGGACCCAGGAATGGGAATAATACCATTTTTGAGAACTGCTAGTGTTGAAAAATTCATAGTAATGGAGGAACTATTGTAATCAAATTAAAGAAAATTAAATGCATCACTACATCTAATTATAAAAGTTCATCATAGATTTATTGGCCATGATGCAGACATTCCTAGACCAATCTGATTTGCTTTCCAATGCTCTTTCTTCAACCTGACTTTCCAGGTCCACTTTGCCCCCAAATCCAAAGTAGAAAACAGTACTGATCTAAGCTCTCAAACTTTCCTCCAGTGAGGGATCGAGGCATTATTGGAGTGAGTACAGTGGTGATTTTGAGAAAGAATTAGGAGAGTAGATTCAGACGCACTGATGAAAGGGAGGGAGGTGGAAAACACAAAAAGGAGTTTAGGGTGTTTTTTGACGCAATGCACTGAAGTAGGGAACACAGGAAACAGAATAGGTTTAGGGCAGAAGACAGACTTGGTTTCAGCTTTCAGAATGAGGTATGAAAGACATGGATTTAGAGAAGCTTTATCTCCAGATCTGGGATTCAGAAGAGAGGTCTGCAATGCAATGGTGTTGATCTTTTTGGCAAGGAGTGATCACAGACCCTTTGAGAACAGAACAAAAATATTTTTTCCCCCCAAGAAAAATGTAGCCTCACACAGTCAAGATTTTGTCTACTTTCTGAGGGGATTCAGGTATTTTCTCAAAGACAGTCTTCCAATTAAGAACTTTGGTGTAGAAGGCCGGAGATGTGGGAGCCAGTGACAGAAGCTGAACAGGAGCGGCTGGAGTGGTTAGGAAAGCAGTCCCATGCTTAACCCTAGGCCTGGGCCTGACCTTCATCTGACCTTATGCTGGTCCTCTTCTAGTTGTGTCCCTCCCCACAGTGTGAGGTGTCCCAGGGCTAAGGGATGCACTCATCCAAATCCTGGGCAACCCCTTGTAGCCAAGCTCTCATTCTGGGATCCTGGGACTTTTTCTTACCCCACGGTTCTGAATCTGCTTTGAGGCCCAGTAAGGCCCCTTCCCCTGGCTGTCCTTCGAGGGCAGATCCCTCTGTCCAAGGGGTCCTTAGTGGATGGTGGTGGGTTGCAGGCAGAGTGGGACTTAAAGGGAGCTTGACTAGCAGGCACTGGTGTCCCCACACTTGGAGAAAGTCTGCCAAGTGCTACACAGAACTGAGTCCAGATGGAAGGAGAATGAAGATTGGCAGGGCTGGGACCATGTTTCTGTGTAAAACTCCAAGGAGACTCTAAGCTTGACCTCTAAATTTGAAAACTCTGTACCTTGGGTCTCTGTTGGTATTCTGGCTCCAGAGTTTTCCAGTGTAAGGAGTGGGCCTGCAGGAAAGAGATGGCCCAGGATGCCAAAGAAGGAGAGTGGTAAGAAGGTAATGGCAAATGTCAGTGGGACAGCAGGGCTTCCCCAAGTCTGGCTTGCCAGAGCAGCAGCTGCAGCAGCCCCTGGGAGCTTGTGAGAAACCAAATGCTCATGCCTGAAGCCAGACTTTCTAGATCAGAAACCAAGGGTGGAACCCAGCATTCCATGTTCAGTCTTGTGATAACTGCATCTTTCTATAGCAGTGGTTCTAAAACTTTAGAGGATACCAGAGTCATGAAAGGCCTTTAAAACACATCACAAAACCAGAAAGGGAGAAGTTAGTGGGCTCCAGCCTCCTTCCCCCAAATGCCACTGGGCCCTATGGCTCAGTTCCTCCCTCATCACCCCTGCTGGAAGTGCTCATTCTCCAGGTCCGTGTCCACCCGTCCCCCATCTTACAGATTATCTTTGCATCTCCTGACCTCACCCCCTCCTCTACATCCTCACTTCTGTGACGCTCCTTGACCTCTGGGCACCTCTCTCTTTTTTACTTCTAATTGATCTATATCCCATCTCATTCACTCCAATCCATTTCTCTTACTGCTCTTGATTATGACAAATTCTTGGCCTGCATTTTCCCTGAACAAAATTTGTCAAGGCCATCAGTTCCTGTACTCACAAAGTTCTTGCCACTCAGGAACTTGAATTACAGACTTGAGTTCTGCACACTTTTCCTTGAATCTCAGCTCTCCTCTTCCCACCTGGAATCAGCCTTTCTTCCAACCACACTGAGCTGGGACTTTTCCTAAATATTCTGGGCTCTGGCATGCCTCAGAGCCTTTGCACATGCAGACCCCTCTGCTTGGAGAGCCTGAACCCCTGGATCACCTCCTACTCATCCACTCAAGCTCAGTGTAGGCATCACCTCCTTGGTGAAGACCCTCTGACCCTTTGGACCAAGGATGGTGCTTAGCACAACTTGAGACCGGGAAGGCACACAGAACTTTCACACTGCATTATGGGCGTCTTCTGCTGCTTCTCACCGTGGTGTCCACATCTGGAGACAAGGGAGCTGTTCTTGTTCATCTTTCTATCTCTTTGCTGTCTTCCCTTCTGCTGCTGGTGGCTGGCACAAAATAAATGTTCCAGAAAGAAAACAAATAGAGTATTTCCTCCTTAACAAGTCCTTTAGCATCTGGAGGGTCAGTTTCTTTCTCTGGAAAGTGCTGAGATCAGGATGTGGATTCGAGGCTATTTTAGGAGGGCTCAAATGAGAATTTCCAGGACATTTTCACACACCAGTTATCAGCCATAATCACTTCCTGCCTCAGGGTCACATGGGGTTGGACAGAGATGTGGTCCATATTCTAAGAACTTACAGTCCAATGTGGGGGATGGGACATATGCATAAAAGATAAATAACATAAGGTGACAACCAATGAGCTCCAAAATTGCTGAAGGGGAGGGAACAGACAGATGAGGTAGAAACATTAAAATGCAGGGCAGAAGATGAACACCAGTCAAGAATTATATTCTGTAAGCAGTAAAAGGATTTGAGCAGGTAGGAGAGGAAGATCGATGTAAAGAGAACAGAGTGGCTAAGTGCTTAGACTTGAATTAATTAAGACTGTGTGGTTGTTAACTGCCAGCCACATACTAACTGTGCAACCTTGGGTCAGTTACTTAACCCGTGTCTCAATTGACTCACCTGCAAAACAGGGCTAGGGATAGTTATTTCATAGGGCATTTTGAGGATTAATGAGAATAACTTGAGAATATCACATAGTGCTTTTCAATCAACCTAGTGGCTACTTTAAACAATGGGGTATGTTCCTCCATCTAGTTACCTCAAATGATGCTTTCCATAAGGAAAGCCAATGAAACCACCAGCCTTGCTGGTTTTAATT